TGTAGTCAAAGTAGAAGAGAACTTTATCATACAATTTGAAGAGTCACCTGGAAGTTTTAAAATAAGTTAATGCCAATGTTGAAAATTCATTTCTCTGTGTAAAATACTGTCCTCTCTTTGCATTTGCAAAAAAAAGAAAATTTATATTCTCCTGAATGTCTTAGTATGCATTTGTTTCTCGGCTATCTTCCCCTAGATTGATCTCAGGGACATGAGAACTCTGATCACTGAAAAGGGCCAAGTGACCCAGACTGAAGTCTTGTGGCCCTGAAGACAAACTCTTGTGTCCATGATTTTACTTAAGCCTAACTGATAACATAGAATAATCTGATATCATTTTCCTACTCCTGAAATCTCAGTCTTTATATTGGTAACTTGTGGAAACATTGGTAACTTGTAAAAATTGTGCCAAGACTGACTGACCTCAGGTAAAATAACTCATTGAAGGAAAATGAACTGCCCCTCAAGAGAGAGATAACAAAAGCCTTAGAGGTCTGGGGTGTGGCCCAATCACTAGGAATGGGACAGAGAATTAGAACTAAATGACCTCCAGCCACACTAGATCTGCCGCCTTCCTCTTATTTAATTCTATAGTGCTTTTTTTTTTTTTTTTTTTTTTTTTTAAGCTGAGCCATCCTGCTACCTGTTGGCAGCTCAGCAGCTGCTCAGCTTGGGCTGGACTCGAACCGCTGCTGCTCAGAGCTCAAACTCTTGAGCGAGCTCTTAACCAACTGAACCACTCAGCCAGCCCTGTAGTGCTTTTTATATGTGGAATTTAAAGGTAATTTCTGTTTGGAAATATGTTAAAGTACAGCATGCACGGTTGAATTTAGAAACTGAAGTACTGCATGGTTTTCCTCAATTAAAAAAATATGTGCTCAGTTTTGCTGACCCCATTACATATATGGAATTAAGGAATTATTCCATTCATCCAAGGTAAAATGGACTTAATGAAGATGCAAAAAAAAAATGTTACAAAACTATTAAGAAAAATTTATTCACTCTAATCAGCTCATGCTCCAGGCAAAAGTAAAGTGCTAATAGAGAAAATGAGAAAATATCATTTAAGGATTTAAGGAGAATTGATTTCAGGCAACTTAAATTTAAAGTGAGATGTAATTAACTGC